GCAAGCGATGTGTGGCGTTAAAACCGGTCACGGCCACGGAGCAGCTCAGCTAGCCCGCCGCCTGAGAAGAGTGCAGGCGTGCTGGGGCGGGTGCGAGAAGCTGAGCAGGGACAGTATGAGCCAGCACCTGGGAGCTCATGGATCCTCACACGTAGATCAGTTTTTTGGTATGGACCACAGAAACCCTTGGCTGATGAAGTGTGTTTTCTTGCTTTCAGTGGGATAAATAAGCCCTGTATATCCAGGGGGTTAACATGGCCTGTGTGTATGGGTGGTGTTATACAAGGTTTAAAGCATTGAGTTCCGAGATCGTGACTCGCATAGTCCCACAGCAATAACTAGTGTGAAAACTGTGGAGAAACAGTTAGATTTGAAGTGTAAGGCTTTAATTTCAGAAAGTCTTTAGCAACGGAGAATTTTTAAAGGAAAAAATTGATAGGATATCCACTTGATAGGATAGCATTGTTCAGTTTTCTTGCTTCTGGGTTTGATCTGAGATGTCTGATACACGATCGTCTGTGATACGTGCCAAAAAACATGTACATGAGAGATGGGTGATTTTGAAGAGAAGGTACTGAAGTGAGGAAGTGATTTATGTTTGTAGGTTTCCTGTCTGGTTAGTGGAAAACTTGCTTTGAATTATGCTACACTAGTAGGACAGCATCTTGTTATGTGGAAAACATTATTTTCATGTGTAAAAATAATTTTTAAAAAAGTTCTGCTCAAAACAAGCTTCAAATTCATCTTTGCCTAGGCTCATTCACACCTTTATGCATTCTTTCATGTTGTGATTTTCCCAAAATCCTTCCCTAGGTAATGCGTGCTGAACTTTATTTAGTGCAAACACCCCAAAAGCCACCAATCCAGAAATACATTCCAGCGACAGGGACTGCAGATGAGTCTGTGTTGACCAGAGGTTGCTTGTGCCTACCTGTACTCACCAAGACACTTCAGGGGACTTAGTTTTTTAATCTGAGCAGCACCATGATCTTTGAGATCGTGTTTGTCCGGCAAGTTCT